GACATAATTTATTTAATTTTTAATAATTAAAAATCTAAAATTAAGCTTATTTTATTTAATGACATAATTTATTTAATGACATAATTTATTTAATGACATAAATTATTTAAAGATATAATTATTTAATGACATAATTTATTTAATGACAAATTATTTAAAGATACAATTATTTAATGACATAATTTATTTAATGATATAATTTAAAAAATAATGGAAAAATTCAAATTAAGCTTAAATTATTAAATGACTAAATTATTTAATGACATAATTTAAGAAATAATGGAAAAATTCAAAATTAAGCTTAAATTAAACTTTATATTTAATTAAATTTAATCAATTAAAAAAAAAAAAAACTCCGAAATATTCTAAAAAATCCAAAATTCAAAATTCAAAAATAAATCCGAAACCTGAAAAAAAAGACAAAAAAACCAAAACCCGAAAAAATCAAAATCCAAAGTCCAAAAAAAAGAAAAAACCGAAATCTAAAAAAAAAACCCCAAACCCAAAAATAATTGAAAACCTAAACTCTCCAAAAAACAAAATCTGAAACATGAAAAAGAAAACAAAAACCGAAACCTGAAAAAAAAACCCCCCGAAACCCAAAAATAGACTCAAAACTGAAAACCCGAAAAAAAGAAAAAAAATTTCCCCCAAAAAAAGAAAAACAAAAAAAAAACCTTCCAAAACATGTAAAAAAATGAAAATAAATAAAAAAAAATAAAAATTCGAAAATATCAAAAAAAAACAAAAACTCAAATAAAAAAAACTCAAAATTAAATTTCCACATATCCCATTCCATCACCCGCATATCGGACTCTGTTTTCTCAGATTTTATAGTCACACAGAATCACGTTTTAGTTGATTGTCCTATCAACTCTTTTAGGGTTGATAAACAAAATTTTTACTACTTTAACTTTTGCCAATTGAATTAAAGCAGCAATAAAATTTTTAATTCAATTATATAATCTAATTTGGAAACTATACTGTTTTATAATTAATATATTATTCCTTATTAAAATTAAATAAAATCATATCAAACCTCTTGATTTATCTAATCTTTTTAAATCAAAAAACAAAAATATTTTACAAGTCAAAAACATATTTAATACTAACTTACAAGAAGATATTATTATTAACTTACCCTTTATTATTGTTAACTTATTTATTTAATTTGAATATAATTATTCCAAATATATTTATAGTCTAATATTTTCATCTTTCAACTTTAATTCTATTTTTTCTAATATTGAGTAAGTATTTATAGCTGCTCAGTATCATTTGACAAAATATATTGTTTTAAATTTTTTTTTTAATATTAATTGCATGGTTACTATAGGCAAGTTAGCATTTAGTTCATTGTATTAATACATGAAAAATGTTATTTCTTTTATGATATATACTTTGTTATATACAAATCAGATAAAGAAATAATATTTATTTATAAAAAAAAAATAATATAAAAAAATAATATAAGACATATTTTATTAAATCATTAAATGTTTTTAATATATAAACTATACAAAATATTTTTTAATTGTATTATTATAAAATAAAAAATATAAAAACAATATAATTAAAAATATTTTAAAGATTATAAAAAAAAAATCAGCAATAAATAATTTTTGAAAAACTATTTTTAAAATTTTTAATAATTAAAGTTTAATGTATAAAATTATTAATGTAATTACAGTAAACGTATTGTTTAAAATAAGTCATTACATTTAATGCCAAGTTACAGTAAAAAAAATTTTCTTTTAATTACGTACTTGTTTTATTTAAACTTTTGTAATACAAATATTGTTAGTCAGGTTATTATCGAAGAATATAATAGACAGCTCAATAAAAAATGTCAACTAGATGCCGTTATATGACGTATTTTTGCCTAAGCGCATTTTTAATCAAAAGAAACATGCAGTAAACAATAAATAAGATACTACAAAAATCAATTTATACAATACATGAATTACTATAATCGATGACTTTAAAAATAATTTTTTGCAATTTTAATCAATGATCTGACATTTATAGCATAATTCGAAATATAAGGATAATGATAAATAAATTACGCATTTATCAATTTTGTGATTAACTGTTCTTGCAAACGATGTAATAATGGCATTACATTTGTTTACAGACCAAAATATGTATATAAAGTATAAAAAAAAAAAGAAAATAGAAATTTGACTAACTTCCCAAAATGAAATTAGTATATTTGGTCATCATTGTCATTTTAAATTACGTAGGTAATATTTGATTACAAATCAAATCTGTAATGAACGTGAAATAAATGCATCGATTTATATCGCGTTCTCCAGCGTTTTCGAGAAATTCGACGCAAGATAAAATCTTGTCCATAAAGGACCGCCTCTCACAGGTTTATAAAACTCTTTCAACCATGCCGCCACTCGCTAAAAGCAAAACATATGATTATCTCGTTATTGGCGGAGGTAGTGGAGGTTTAGCCTCCGCTAGACGCGCGAGTTCCTATGGCCTTAAAGTGGGGCTCATAGAGTCAAGTGGTCGTTTGGGTGGCACTTGCGTAAACGTTGGCTGTGTTCCAAAAAAGGTTATGTTCAACACTGGTAGGTATTTATTAATTACAAGTTTATCGAGTAAATTGAAGGTTACGTTGTTAACGACCCTTTTGAATCATAGCGTCCATTGCTGAAGCTTTGCATGATGCGCAAGCATATGGCTTTGATTTACCCCGAATTCCAGATTTTAATTGGAATCTCCTCAAACAAAAACGTGATGGGTATATTAAACGTCTTAATGGAATTTATTCTAATAACCTTAACAAAGATAATGTCGAGTATATCGCAGGAAAAGCCAGCTTTTTAGAAAAAAATGTATTAAGAGTAGAACATAATGGTCAAACTGAAGATCTCAAAGCCACGAAAATCTTGATCGCTACCGGTATATATTTCTAATTGCTTGATTTGTTAGTATACCTTATAATACTCATCAGGTTATTATCATAGGTGGTTATCCTTTCAAACCAACTGAGATTCCCGGTGCCGAATTAGGTATCACCAGCGATGACTTTTTTGATATTGAAACACAACCCAAAAGAGTTTTGGTTGTGGGCACAGGCTATATTGGAATAGAGTTGGCTGGGATATTCAATTCCTTAGGTATGCTTGCTAATCAATACTATTATGTTCGAAAGGAAAGAAGAATTGTGTAATACAATTTTAACAACAAATCTTTTAGGTACTAACACTACGATAATTAGTCGTAGCGGGGAAATATTGCGCACATTTGATCCAATAATTAAAGATACTCTTTTTGAGCAAATGAAAAAGGAGGGTATACGAATCCTAACACATGCTGGAGTCAAGTCATTATCACGTACGTCTGACAATGGACCAATTAAAATTAAATTTACATCAAAAGAAACTGGTGACACGGAAGAAGAGTTCGATACTCTTTTGTGGGCAATTGGTAGAAAACCAAGTGTCGAAAGTTTAAACTTGGAATTGGTTGGTGTCAAGTTAAATGAAAAAGGTTACATCATTAGTGATGAGTACCAAAATACTACAGTAGACAATGTATTTGCATTGGGTGATGTTTGTGGCGTGGCTCAGTTAACACCTGGTATTTTTCGTATATTAATTTTCTCATTCAGTATTTCAATAGATTATCTAACATTAATGAAATAATATCTTTTTAGTTGCTATTGCTGCTGGACGACGTTTATCCGATCGTCTTTTTGGTCCGTTAAAATTCAAAACTAGTAAACTCGATTATGATAACATCCCTACTGTCGTTTTTCATGGAACTTGTGGTGCGGTCGGTTTGACCGAACCAGAGGCGGTAAAAAAGTATGGCGAGACAAACGTCAAAACTTATACATCTAAATTTGTAAATATGTATCACGCTATGACAGATCACAGTAAGTTGAGTTTACTTGCAAATTTATAAATTTGATTTTCGCGTGCTAATAGCTTATCGTATTAAAGAACCCGTGACGGCATATAAGCTCATAGTAGTAGGAGAAGAAGAAAAAGTAGTTGGCGTTCATATTACAGGGAGGGACTCCGCAGAAATTGTAATTATGCATTTTATTTATTTTAAATTCATGCTCCTTAGCCTTTCAATAACCATATTGGCACGGCTGATTGTAGTTACAAGGATTTGCTGTTGCTGTCAAGATGGGCGCTACAAAACAAGACTTTGACAATACTGTTGCTATACATCCCACTGCTGCAGAAGAATTGGTATTTATACATATTATACATTTATTTTGAACCTGTATTATAATACTTTTAATGCATTGCCTCACGACTTCTGCTTCTTATTTTGAATAAGGTAACTCTGAGGTGAAAGAGAGATTTGAGAAAGCAATTATTAAGTACTAAATAGAATTTTTTAGGATCACAAATTTTATATTTAATCGTCCTTTATGTTACTGAAAGAAAAATAACAGAAAGGGTATCAAAATGAGTTTTGACCAATTCTATAGATTTTACCAGTGACTCAGAAATAATTATGGTATCAACGTTAAAAACATGTGAATTCAAGAATAATAATTTAACTGTAATCGAATACTCTATAAGTACCATACGAAAAACAATTGGAAAACCTTTGCATATTGTAATTTAAATAAAATTCTAAACTATTCTAATTAGCAGTGAATTGAACAATTATAAAATATATTTGAACTTCTATATTTATTAAATAAATTAATATTTACCTTGTATTAATCAAAAAATATATATAATATTCAATACATATTTTGAATTTATCATAATTAACAGAAATTTTAAAATATCAAATAAATTAAATATTATCCAATTGTAAAGAAAATCATTTTCTTTGTATCAATTACAATATATTGTTACTTAGTAACTTAATAGCAATTAATATTACAAGAACTGTTCTTCTTATATAATCATATATGTATAAGCTTGCCAAAATATTTATGTCAAATAATTTATAAAAATAGAAAATTTATTAATAAAAAAAAAAAATAGATTTATTAAGTATTTAGGAAAAAAATAAAAGTCAAATAATTTAATTATTAAAATTATAAGAAATAAATATCAGTCTTATTCTTTAGTAGAATTTCTAACAATACTATTTCAGTATCAAGCTAATACTAAATTTACTATGAGTTTAATATAATAAATCACAATCCATATATTAAATTTATTATAAGTCAATACCATTTCAGTATCAATTCAGAATCCTATTTCCTAAAAAGGTGAAATGACCATTTTTATATATTATTTTGAGTTGTATAATTATCCTTTTCTTGTTTATTAATAATAAACAATAATTTTATTTAGAATAAAAATTCTCAAATTACTTAAAATTATATTAAATAACTAATTTCAATAACTTTAATAAAATATATTTCTCTGATTATTTTATTTATAATTTGATAAAATAATTTTAATTATAAAATATAAAATATTTTGTTTCAAAGATTATTTGTTATATAAAAACTATAGAAATTTAAAAAATTGTTAAAAATTTATAAGTCAATTATATAGTTACATAATCTTTAATATATAACTATTTTAAATTATAATACTATTTTTTTTTATAAATAATAATTTCAAAAATAAATTCATAAAATAATATTTAAAAAAGCTAAAATAATAATAATAAAATAAAAATATTTTAATTTTATTATTTTATTACAATACTATTATTAACTATATAAATTAATCATAACCAATATATTTCTAATAATCCAACTATAAAAATTTTATACTTGTATACAAAATTCATATATTAGGAAAATTATAAAGAAAATAAAAATTTTGTTATCAATTTTAAATTATCTAATCTGCTAATTCAATTATATTAAAAAGTATTTATTTTGCAATAATTATTTGTAAAACAATCAGATATTCTAATAATTTTTACTTTAAACTATTAAGAAAATAGTATATTTAAGTAATTCAAAATTAAAAAATTCTTTATATATATATATATATATATATTAAAAAGAGCAAATGACTATCATACTTTATTATATTTATTATACTTTCACTAGGGTTCCAAAAAAGTACTGAACTGGTATCAAACTGATATCAAAATGGTACCGATCTATAGTAAATTTAATATATGAATTGTGACCTACTCATATGTTTTTATAGTAAATTTAAGTATCGAACTGGTATCAAAGTGGTATTGAAGTGATATCGTTAGGAGCCCTAACTTTCATTTGCAAATCAAGGTACAATATTAATAGTATAACATACATCCTTTTTTGTTAAGAAAAGTTTAATACAAGATTCTCAAAAGAGACCCAATCCCTATACTCTTTTGGTACTATTCAAGAAATATAGAAAAAAAAATTCAAAAATCTATATTATTGCCTTAAATAGTATCTAGTTACCTAAAAATAAATAAATACCTAATTACATGGAGGTGCTGTAGCCAATCTATATAGGTTGGCCTTCAAGTCATAATTATAATTGGTACATTTGCTTTTCAAATATTACTTAATATATAATAAGCAAAGTAATATTGAAGGTGATAGAAAGTAAATATCTTTTTGCATAAAGGTGCTATAGCTACTTTATACAGATTTGCCTTCAAGTCACAAAAAAGATTTAATATATCCATACTTCAAGTGTGGCAAAAGTGTTCTATAGATGAAGTTCATATTGATTTTTTTAATGGTGCTGGAATCTAATCTTATACAATAGACCTATATTGTTCAAAAGATAAATAAAGAACTTTTGTTATTATTACTAACTCATTTTTAGGATAATTAGAATCTCTAATAATCATATATTATCTTACTAAGTTCTTCAATCACTAATATAACATCTGCAACTAATCTAACTTATTGCTAATTACATTAACATTGGCTGTCATTTCACTTTGGATACTGTAAAATATAACTTCTTGGATACTTTCAAATAATAATAGTTATATAAAGATTTCTTGGGTATATTTAGTCTAATTACTAATCAATAAACAATATTGAGTTTGATAATAATAATCATATTAATCTTTTAAAGGATGTAAATTATACATATGGCATAATTATTTTGTTGTTGATTCAATTTTCAAAATCTTTAAAAATAATTGTGTCATAACTCAATTATTTATATGTTTTAATAGTGACTCAATTAATTGTGTCAAATAATTGAATCATTTGCATCAAGAATCTATGAATTTCAGCAACATATATAGTGTAAACCATCTATTTTTTTTTTGAGGAACTATAGAAGAAAGAAAATTTTCTAAAGTCCATATACTAAGAAAGATTACTACCTTTTAATATAGTTCTTGAGAAAAGAAAGTTGACTGGCTAAAGGAGTGATACTATATTATGAAGATAAAGTTTTTAAAAGAAAGAGAGACCTAAAGAGAAAAACCTTTAGAAAAAAGGAAAAATCTAGCTTTGACAAGAAAAAAGAGAAAAGAGGAAGGGGATATAAGATATAAAAAAATATATATAAAAAAGAAAGAAAAAAATAAGAAGAGAAAATGAGATATAATAATAAGAACATAAAGAGAGGAGAAAGATAAAGATAAAAAAAAAAGTAAACAACTCAAAAATTTTCTAAAAAGAAAAATTTCAAGTATAGAAAAAAGAGTGGAAAAGAGTTTTTTTTTTTAATTTATAATAAAATTTTTATATATTGTATATTAATCTTAATTAAGATTTTTAATAATATTGAATTTATTATAAGTTTAATAAAGAAAGTTATAACCTATATATTGTAAATCTCTAAAATTAAACAAACAAAAAATTTAGATTTTTAATAATTAAAAATATAAGATTGCTTAAAATTGAATATTATAAATTATAAAATTATATATATAACTAATTCTTTTTGAAAATGACAAAAATGTTATATAATTTTTTGATTATTATTTTTTGAATACATATACAATATAAATTCTAGAAGTACAATTATTAAGTCAAAAAAATCTCTGCTTACCTTTAAAAGAATTATTTATATATATATAATTATAATTTTTAATACAATTATAATATAAAAAAATACCAATTATATATTTTTTAACAAAAAATTTATATTATTTAATTTGTTCTTTTCTTAAATAATATTAAAATTATAATTAAATATTAATTGAATAAATCTACCCTCCTCAACCAAAATTTCGCCTTAATAACCTAATTGAAGAAACTCTCAATACTCCTCAAGCACAAGAGAAGATT